CGCAGAGGATGAAGGACAGGGTTTAATCTTTCTGAGACAATCTCTGGGACATCATTGTGAACACTAACCACAGTACTGTCTTCAAATACCTCTGACCTATGTTGGGTTTTCAGTCCTGTTACCAAACGCTCGGAGAGGGCTATGCACTGGGCTTCCTCTTTGTCCTTGCGGGCTGTTGCACACACTTGAGCTACCCTGCATCTAGGGCCTCTTCCTCTGGTCTTGTACCCCAGGGCTTCTGGCCACCTGGGAGAGCAGTACGGGTAGCTGTTTTCTTGTCCTTGAGACTTTTAAAAATGTTTCTGTGGTCACAAACACTATGACTGTCCTTATGCTCAACGATATCAGGTGAACGACATTTTATTGAGGCCAGACTCTGTGCTCTGAGAGGAGAAGGGTTACCCACACACATTCACACAGCCAGACCCCCTCTGGCCCCTGTCACATGGTGAATGGTGAGCCTGGGAGCCAGATGGGGACCTAGTTAAAACGCAGATCTGGGCTGGGGCCCGCAGGTCTGTGTTTCTAGTAAGTTCCCAGGTGAGGCCACTGCTGGGGCCCAAATCAGGTCCCAGAGTAGCAAGGCTTCCATGCAGAAGAGACAGATCCAGACGTCTCAGGGGAAGGCAAGCCAGGCAGCCTTGTGGAACCCAGGTAGGTGGAAGTGCCCTGGGAAGTTGTGGGAACCCCTCACTGCCCTAGCTGACATTTCTACGGAAGCACAATCTGCCCCTGAAGAAACACATCTGTGGGCCACAGGCAGCTCTCCACGTCTGGTAGTGCCCAGAGCTACTGGGGGGATCCTGAGTCTCAGGCAGTTTGCAGGTTAAGAACCTGGTCACACGTGCCAGTCCCTCCACAACTGCGCGGAGAGCAGGTACACTGCTGGGGCCAAACCACTGATGGTGCCGGGAGCTGGTCCATGGCAGGTAAGAACCGTCTGGCTCTGACGCTCCCTGAGGGCAAGAACTTGAGGAGGGAGAGAGCAGAAGCATTCTCATATTTTGGTGCCCACACAGGTCAGCTCACTCTAAGAGATTTCCTTTCACCTTTTCTGTCTTGCGGAGTGCGGTGTCAGCCCCATTTTACAGATGAGGAGACTGAATTTCAAGAGGTTAACTAGCTTGGTCACATGACCCAGCTACTAGTTGGCGACAGGAGGACTCACTCACAGCCTCAAAGCCGTCCTTGGATGATGCAACCGGTCGAGTGTTTCATTAGTTCTTTCTTTTTTTTTTAATTTTTAAATTTTTTTATAAACATATAATGTATTTTTAGCCCCAGTGGTACAGGTCTGTGAATTGCCAGGTTTACACACTTCACAGCACTCACCATAGCACATACCCTCCCCAATGTCCATAACCCCACTGGTGTCTCATTAGTTCTAATCTGACCGAGCCCCCTCGAGGTCTGTGCAATTATTCCTGTCTCCCAGATGGGTATACTGAGGCTCTGCGGCAGAGCGACCAGCCCAGGCCACAGGGCAGTGGAGCTAGGATGGAACCAAACACCGTCCTCTATGTTGTGCGGCAGGAAAAGGGCTTGGGTCAACTGGTGTCCAGCTTCAACCCCTAGAGGGACCTGAGTAATGGGGAGGGGCTGCTGGAAGTGGAATTCCAATACCCTGTCTCCTCTTTAATGTCACCATCAGGATGTGGCCATCCTCAATTTGGTAAGACACTGCCATGCCCAGACTCGCACCCAGCCCAGCTCGGACGTGTCTCGTGTCCTTCTAACACCGGCAGCCACGATAATGGGTCCTGTGGCCGAATCTGCGCCTGCCTGTCCGAGCCTACTGGGCTGCCCATCAGAGCAGGACTCTGTGGCTATTGGGAGCACAGGCTTTGATTTCTTCCCTCTTGTCTCATCCCTGAAAAGTTTGCGATTTGGCAGGAGAGGAGTCGCAAGAAGCACGGATTGCCAAAATAACTTGGATTTTTGCTGCACTCAGGATATACAGGAAATCCCTTTGATAACCAGGCATAAAATGTCTAGGGCTTGTGATTTCTGTATGAGAGATGAAGGGCATAGCCTTGAGCTCTCCCCAGCAACACACAAGCACACGCACATGCACACAAGCACACAGGTGCACACATGCATACACATGTGCACACAGGTGCCCATCTGCAGAGAACCAGTCTTGTTCCAATTACCCTCAGGAATCTGGGCCATTCACCTTGGGCTCTTCTCCTGCAGTGGGTGCGGTGGGAGGCACCAACTCTGCCTGTGCTCAGGTGGTGGGGGGAGGGGGGAGGGGTGGAGTCTTGGAGCCAGAGGTCCCAATGGCAGGTGTCCCAGAACTTTGAGACTGGAGAAGATTTTGTTTAGCTCAGCAAATGTCTCCCCAGGGAAAAACTTCCCCCGGGCTTGATTTAATACTGATCCCAAATGACTAGAATCAGACATGCAGGAATCACACACAGCTCTAAGAGAGCAGTTGGGAATTATAATACACTTAAAAAAGATGGAGACAAGCTCCGTTTGGGGGCGGTCACTGGCCTCCTCCTCTATACCTGCTTCCTGACTATACCTGATTATGTTAGCAGCCTCCTCCCAGCCTGCAGGTTCCATGCTCTCCTCCAAGTGCTCAGGGAGACACCAGGCCACACCTGGCTTTTCATCTTGGGGGACTGTGTTGTGACTCCCCAGGAGCTCCCAGGCTGCTGTCCCACCTGCCCCAGCCTGGCTGAGCCCCCTCCACCCCCCCACCCCACCCCCCCGCAGGCCCCACATGTCAACAGAGGGCTCCTCAATGCCGCCTGTGGCCAGGAGTTTCCAGAGATGACGCTCCGTTCTTCCCAGCTGTCTTCTCGTTTCCTTCGTGTCTCCCACCTCACCTCCAGGGACACTGAGTGTGGCCATCGGTTTGGTTGAGGGTTAGAGCTTAAAAGCATTCCATGTTTTCTTGTCTGTCACTCCTGTCCTCTGGGAACAGTTTGGTGCCTCAGTCTCCAAGAGGCACGAGCTGGGGTCTTCCTCCTGCCCTGTTCCCACTCCAGGCTGATACCCCGGGGCCAAGTTCTCCCACCCTGGGGGCTTAAGGGATGGACTGGAGGACCTGGGACAGCAAAAGGAACTCAGGCCATGCTGGTGTTTGCCAGGATCATTCAAGTTGGAAGGTTCTGAAATCACAGCTTGTTTTGCCTCTCATTTTACAGAAAAAGACTTTGAGGAGCTGCTTCTTGAGCAAGAAGACTTGAGAGCCTTGGAATCCGCTCTCAGCTTGGTCACCTTCCCACTTCTGGGACTTGGCTTAGGTACCTTCTGAGCCCTGGTTCCCTCATCTGGGTGACAAGCGTAATACCTACCTCTTAAAGTTCTTTGTGAGGTCAAGTAAAGTCATTCAGGCCTTCCACGTGGGAGAATTTAGTAGGGGGTGTTCAATTAACATTAGTGCTTCTATTCTGCCCCCCCCCAGCTGTTCTTTATGGTACCTACTTCCCCAAATGGACCTTTTCCCCCACTAGGCTATTAATTCCTGGAGGTCAGGAACCCTGTTCCAGTCTTGGGTTTCTCAGCACCTATGACAGTGCCTGGCATTGAGCCATGAGATTTCAACTTGACCAGTGTGATGCCAGGTTTCCAGACTCCCTGAGCTCGAGCTCAGACCCGCCTATCTATCCTGGGAGTGGAGAAGCCTGCTACCCCCCACACCCGCCAGGGCCCCTCATAGCCCCCATGGCTGGGATTCCTCAGCCAGTTTCACAGAAGCACAGCAGCCATGGGGAGGTTTCTGGGACTTTTATTTTTATTCTTTATATTGTCAAAGCCAGTAAAGATGGGCAAACGCTGTCCCTTTTGGGCTGCCAGCCCCCACCCGCCTCCCTCACCCCTCCCACCTGCTGGCCACTACGAGTCACCTGGGCTAAAAAATGCCACCCAGCCAGTGTCCAGCACTGCACCACCCCCACTGCCAGGCTGCGGGCAGTCTAAGGAAAGGAAGGGCCCGGAGCAGGAGTCCATGCAGGCCCTGGGTGCAGCCCATCCCTGCAGGGTCCTCCCCTTTCCTGTGTGGGCCCCAGTTGGCAAAGCAGGGGGTTCTGAGGTCCCTTCCAGCTGTGCCAAGCTCCCCTCTCTCCAGGTGATCTTGTCCATTGTATCAGCACAGAGGGAACCCTAGGTGGGCGGCTCTGGGTGGGGGCAACATCCGCCCCTCAGATTCTCTCATCTTTTCTCTGCCTCCAACCTCCCTCTTTCTCAGCCCAACGGAGTGTGTGTGTGTGTGGCGGAGGGGGGGGCTGTCTTGTCTCTTTCTGGGAAATCCCTGCTGAGGGCAGAATGGAGGGAGAAAGGGGTCCGGGAGGACTTGGCCCTGGGGTGGTGTGTGATCCTGGAGTTAGGGTGTCAGGAGCGTTTCTCCTTCGCTGGGACCCACTTCCCCTCCCTGAGGTGGATTTCCTCCAGCCCGGTTTCTGTCATTCGTTCTGGCCCCTCCAGGGGGATCCCTCCTACGCCAAGGTCGGAGGAGGGTACCTGGACATGCCCTCTTTTCTTCTGCGGCCAGCCAAGAGCCCACTCAGACCCAGCACCCTGGTCTCTCAGCTCCCAGACCACAAGGGAGACCTCTGCCCCGGCCAACTGCCTCCGAGGGTGGGCCCCCTGCAGCAGCTGGATCCCAATGGCACGTCCGGAACCCCCCAGCCACTTTCCCGGTGGCAGAACCTGGTCATTTGCATCTACCTGTGCACTCAACGCGTTTGCGGAGCGGGCAGGGCAAGGCCTGGGCCCCAGAGGAGCGGGATGGCCGGCCCGGTGGCGCGTCTTACGCGGCTTGGACCTCCCTCCCCGCTCCCTCCTCCCTCAGCGGGGCTGGCCTCACCGCCGCCGCCCCGGCCCGCGCCCCTTGGCCTCCTCCCTCTCGCCCTCCCCCTGCTTCCGCCTCCACCTTCTCCTCCTCCGTGGGGGGGCCCCGGAGCCCCGTGCAGGGCAGCGGAGGGGCTGCAGCCGGGGGACGGGGACCAGGACGGGGACCGGGAAGGGGGAGGGGACGGGGGCGGGCGTCAGACGCTGTGGGCGCCCAAGCTGAGCACCGAGAAGGCGGCGCGGTGCTTGCGGAGCAGCAGCCGGATCTTCTCGTCGTCGGAGTCGGGGTCCAGCGGCTTGTTGTACTCGTCGTCCTCGTTCTCCGAGGCGGCGCGCTCCCCGCCCGCTCCCGCGCCGCCCGGGGCCCGGGGCGTGGAGGACGACGGCTCCAGGGCGCTCTTCTTCCGCCACTTGGTCCTTCGGTTCTGGAACCACACCTGGGTGGAGAAGGAGGCTGAGGATAGTGCGCCCACAGCGCACGCGGCGACCCCCTTTAGGAGGGTGACCCCACCGGGCGGCAAGGACCGTCGATCCTTATTTTTATAGTAAAATAAATGGCTCAGTGATAGACCAGGTGGTAATATTCACGCCGTTTGTGCGGCGGGAGGTGGCGGATAAAGTAAAAACGAACGCGGGTCAGTGCCGCAGCCCTTTCTGCTTAGCCAGACTCTCCTCGCGGTGGATCTTCTCTTTTGCCACCCGGGGCACGGGGATGGAAGATGCCGGAATGCCCAGGTGGGGGCCTTCAGTAGGTGCTCAAGGGTGGTCCCTTCTTCAGCTCCATGGACCTTCCCTGAACTTCATGAGTAATTTCCCCTAATTATAAAAGTAACGTATTTTCATTGCTTAAGATAGTTGAAGAATGCAGAAAAGTACCTAAAGAAGCAGAAAAGTATGGAAGGGGTCCCTCGCTTCCCTCCACTCGGATTCGGCAGATCCGAAGTCTGCGGAGGCAGGTGGCTGGCAATGCTGGCACAGCCCAGAGGTGGTCCCAACCTGCCCTCATGCTTCCCTCTTCTACCCTTGAACCTGTCACCATGTCACAGAGCTGGGCAGTTCGGTCATAGTGTTCTTTTGGGAGGCCACCCACCCAAAGTATCCCAGAAGAGATCTAGCGTCACGGTGGCATCTGGGAGCCTGGAGGGAGAGGCCCCGTCACTGATTTCAGGCTCCGTGGCTGTGGCGGGCTGTGTGAGCACGGCCCTTGCCTGCCGCGTGGAGGCTGCCTACCCCCTTACCCCATCTGAGCTTCATTTGGATGGACCTGAAAGGAGGTGTTATCTCCACCTTATTGGCAAACCAAGGCCGGCCCCTCCTGCCTGCTGGTGCAACAAGCCTATAAATTCAGTTCCAACATGGCCCCGAGACTGACTCCTGATACAGGCCAGAGGCCACCACCAGCCCTCAAAATTTCTGGTCAACACCGTGCAGAGGAGGGGAAAGCATTAGGTGGATGTCGCAACTTTGAGCCCCAACTCTGCATTTACCAGCCTAGTGACCCTGAGTGATAAAAGACTCCCCACCTCCAGGTTGCTGGGAGGCTTTAAATGAGCTCCTGAACTCAACGTTCTCCCAATAGACAGCAGTACTGACAGCCATCTTTTGGGTCATGGTCATTATTGCCACCTCTGGGGTGAGGTGGGCAGGCCGTGCCCAGACAGCAGGACAGCTTCCCACTGAGAGCCGGAGTCACCCCCCCCAACCCTCCCCACTGCTGCCAGAGAGCAAAGCTGCCTTTCCTCCACTGGCTGGCTGCTCCCTGGAGGGCAGACACGTTCTCCTGCAGAAACTCACCTTGACCTGTGACTCAGTCATCCCCAGTGAGTATGCCAGCCGTGCCCTCTCAGGGCCAGCCAAGTACTTGGTCTGCTCAAAGGTCTTCTCCAGGGCAAAGATCTGGTGGCCCGTGAAGGTGGGCCGGGTGTGCTTTTTCTTGTGGATGCTGTCGCTCAGGGGATCTGGGGCTGGCAGGAGGAGGAGAGTGTGTGGTTAGCAGGATGAGTAGGGTACAGCCCTATCCTGCATTTCCCACGGGGCCAGCTCCCTCCTACAGAGAAGCCACTGAGATTGTGGGGGCATTGTGACACCGCTAACAAGCAGCATTCCTGGCATTCAGACAATAGTGACCATGACCTCTGCCCCATCTGGATGGACAGAGACCCCCAAGAGGGCAACTGGCCCAGATAAGAGCTATTTAGGGGGAGACGGTGCTTGAAGCCTGCCCTGGGCTCCTTCGCTCTGTAATGTTTTTCCTACTCAGTGATGCTGCCTTCCCTCCAGGGGCAACACCAGGAGGCTCTTCTCGGTCTTCTCAGTTTTCTCACCAAGACACCAAGACAAGACACAGACCTTCCCCCAACAGTCAGGGCCGCAGGGGGTCTGGGAATTCCTTCTCCGCCTAATCCCTTGTTCTTGGGGTCCCATTTTCCAGGTTCCTGGGAAAACCAGAGCTTTAGGCCCCAAGTTACTGCACTCCCTTGTCGCCAGGCCTAGAGGTCATGTGACCCCAACCACACAGAACTAGGACCCTGCCTCCTGCTTGGCTAGGACAGCGGCTCAGGCAGGAGCAGGGCTGGAGGGCAGCAGGGCTCCGGGGAGGCAGAAATCCCACCTGTTGGGCCTTGTTCCGTGCAGCCCAGCAGCTCATGTTCTGTCTCCTCATGTTGCAGAGAAGGAAACTGAGGCACTGGTTGGGGCAGAACCTTCCCAAAGACTTTCCTCTGCAGTCCTCTGTCCCTTTGTGTCAATTCAGCCACTGACTTAGATATTTTCCTGTGTGTGGCCGTGCACTTGGGATTGAAGAGTAGGAGTGTGGAGAGAGTGTGTGTGGTGGGGGGAGGGGGAGATGGAGGCGAGAGAGACCAAGGCCCAGAGCACCCCCAAAACCAGTTCTCAGAGAGGAGGTCTTCACCTGCGTGGAACCCGCCATGCTTCAGGCTGAGTGAGGGGTGCGCTGTCAGGCAGTGTGACCACCCCGAGCAGCACAGCAGATGGGGAGGCAGGCGTGACTTGGGGTTTCCTTGGTGGGCCCCAAGCCCCTATTGCAGTGGGGCAGCCCCGAGGTCAGAGAGAAGCGGAAGTTCCCTCCGCCTCTGCCGCAGCTGGGCCTCCCTGGCACGGGGATGACTCCTGCAATTCCTGTCACCTCCCTGCCTCCCAGGTGAGCCTCACCTGCCCGTGCATGACCTGCCACCATCTCTGGGCCCTGCCTCGACCCCTGGGGTCCCCACACCCATTCTCTGAAAACAGATTTGGGCAAGGTAGGATAGGGTGACCCCCCACCTCCAACAGCGAGGACCAAGTCTGACTGGACTCAGCAGCTGCTCGTGGAGGCTGGGCGGTGATCACTGCTCCTCCTGCTGCCATAAGCCCCGGGGAGGATGGTGGGAAGCTGCCCCCTTGATGGCGGGCAGGACCAAGATGGAGTCGGCGTGCATGCCGTGGCCCTGAATGGTGTCAGGGCAGGAATGGGCTCTCTGGGAAGGTGACGCTGGGGCAGCTTCTCACAGGGGACAGCATTGGTCCACTTTGGGTGAAGATGTGACATGGCTTCTGGGTGGGAAAAGGAACCTGGGCGGCTAGGTGGACCTTACATAGGGCAAATGTGGGTTATGTGGTCTTCTCCAGCCCAGGAGACCCCCGGGTTTTCTGGGAAGGCAGCTGAGGCGGCCACTGGTAACGGTAGGGAGTGAGGGGCAAGACACCTGTCCAGGTAGAGCTGGGGTGGGTCTGAGAGGGGAGAATTCAGTTGTGTGCCCCAGTGAGCCATGGATCCAGGTGGCTGAGGAGAGGTGGATGGCAGGTATGGACTGCCCTGTGAGCCTTCCCTTCGCTTCCCACACCTCCTCCTCCCCAGATCCTGTGGGTGGTGGGGGTGGGGGGGACCTGGGGGCCGGGGTGGGGGGTACGGAGCCTTGCCCTGTACTCACTGTTGCTGCACTGCCTCCCGCCTCGCCAGTCCTGGCCCGTGTCCGCCCAGCAGTTCCGGGTCCGGGTGGGGTACTCATTGCCAGCCTTGGGAAAATTCCCCACCTGGGGTCCATAGTAGACCCCCTGGGAGCTGAGTCCACCAAAGCCTGTCACGTGGGGGTAGCTGGAGAGGAGGCTGCTGTTCGGCGTGGCCACGGGCCTGCTCAGGATGTCCGTGATCCCGTGGGGGGTGCCGGCGGCCAGCTGGGGGCCCAGCCCCGGAGGGCTGAGCTTGTAGAAGGAGTTCTGCACGGAGTACTGGCACACGGGGGCTTTCATCTCCGAGAACTGAGCCAGTGGCGTGTTGTTCAGCAGGAACGTCCCCTGCAGGTTGGACTCCATGATCCTCGGGTCAGGGCGAGGGAAGGTCAGAAGCCCAAATCCAGGCCCCCTAAAGCCAGAGACCCCGAGCTCTGACCCAGAAGCCCATGGCAGGTTTGGAGGGTCAAAAGCGGCCCGAGCCCCAGACTGCCCTCCTACCTAAGGCATCCGGCCCGGCCCTGGCCCGGGGGACCAGCACCTACGTCAGCGGCTCGGAAGTCAGGTGCTCCTGGAGCAGGTGAGAGGCCTCGCCGGCGCCCCTTGGCTCTGTCCCTGTCCCTCCTGGAGAAGGGTGGCTCCCCAAGCCTCAGTTCAGACCCCTCCTCTGCCTGTGAGTCTGGGGACCCTCCATGAGAAGTTTTAAGTTCAGGGAAGCAACATTTCCCTGATAAAGATATGGCCCATTAGAATACAGACCCGAGACTGGCTGAGCTGTGAGAGACGCGGCGCCATTGGTCGAAACCCACACAGGCCTCACATTGGCTTTTCCAAGACAAATTGCACTTTGAAAGATTGACTGTAAAATCAGCCAGGGTGTGTGTGTGTGTGTGTGTGTGTGTGAGAGAGAGAGAGAGAGAGAGAGAGAAGGAAAGAGGGAGGGAGGAGAGAGAGAGAGGGGATGAGCGCTGGAAGCTCTGTTCCTTCTCAGAGGGTCTACTTGCTCCTGGTCCCCCAAGCGCAGCATCTAGGGAACAGAGGGTACCTGGGGCTCCCGGAGGCTCCCGAGGCAGCTGGAAGTTACAGCTCCTGCAGCTGCTCCCCTGAGGGTGAGGAGGCCAGGCTCAGGAGGCACGGTCCTGGGGTGCCCAGACCCCTTTATGTGCAGTACCCAAGCCAGCGGAGGAGTATGGAGTCTGAGTGTGGATGCTTCTCTTCCTTTCTCTGAGCTGGGATGGGTAAGTGGGGAGGCTGGGCTTTGGCCCGGGGTGGTGGGGGGTGGGGATGTGAGTCTCTGCCCCTGGCCTGAGAGCCTGGGAGTGGGAGCCTGCCAGGAGACTGGGGCGGGGCAGGTGGGGTGTGGTGGGGGAGTGGAGCCTGGCCCTGCTGGGCCTGTGCTCTTCCCACCTCTGCCTCTGAGCAGCTTTCCTGATTTCCTCTGTTCTTCCATCTAACTCCTCCGAGGAATCATGTGTGTCTCTGCTGGAGCCAGTGCCATGTTCTGTCTGGCTTGGCACCTGGGTCGGAAAGCTCTGATGACTGCGACTGCTGTTGATTCAGTGGTAGGTCCCCCTGGCCGGCATTTGGTTGGTGCCCAGTCATTATTTGATGGTGGGACACCCATATGCCTTTCTTTCGAATGGATTTTTACAACATGCAATGTTCTACTGGGGGCCATCTTCCACTTTACAAACAGGGAAGCTGTGGGGAATACTCTGTTGTTTTTGTATGGGCAGTTCTTGTTTTTGTTTTTTAAAGTGGAAACCAGCCCCTGGTCTGAACGTGTAAAATGACAGGACATTAGGGACTGTCAGGCAGACAGACTTCTGTCCCTCCCCTGCCGGGCAGTTCCAAAGCCTTTCCGGAGCAGGCTGTGGGCTCCTTGGCAGTCTCAACACGCCGTGGTCCCACTGTGACAGGTGGGAGAAAAGAAGGCCCTTCGCTGGCCTTCTCCTTGGCTTCTAGTTGGAGATCTGGACCCAGAACTTGGGGAGGGCTCCCCTCTCACACAGAGGCTGCCTCTCCCGATGCGGCTGGTATGTTCCTGGTGGAACAGGCTGCTCTGAGCCATGTTCTCTGTCGTGGTAGGTCAATGCGAGAAAGACCTTACACAGGCTGTAGAGATTATTTCTCTAGAAGTTTAGACTAAAAACGGGAAAAAGGGATCTTACCCCTCTGAGCTGGCTGGGCTACTGGGCTGCCCATCACAACTGTTTGGGAGACTTAATTCTGATTTGGCCGCCTGACCCCACCCCCACCCCGCCCCAGGCAACTGTGATCCTGAAACTATGATTTTGAAACCCCCTGGGCCATGCAGTTGAGGACCCTGGGACTGTGACTCAGTCAGCCCCTAAGGATGGGAACTTATGAGGAAGAAAAGGTGCAGCAAATGATTTGATTCTTACTTAATGCCAAGCTTGACAAAGGCATTCACATTTGGGAATCCCAGGATAAAATACGGAAGAGACTTGAACAATTGTTTAACCCATTCCCCTATTTGACAGATGAGAAAACTTAGGCCATCTGGGTGACCAGCCTCATGAGGTGTTAGGAACTATGGAGGAACAGGGCAATCTTCTCAGAAGTTCTTGAACTTTGAATGACATTGAGTGCAGGGGCCAGACACCTTCATGAGGGGCGGGGACTGGGGAGGGTCCCCCTTAGTGTATACTGTGGGTTCAGCCATGCACCCTGGGATGTGTGGTGCCCCCCCTCCACCCACCTTGGACTTGCCCCCATCTCGTAATCCTTAGGAGACAGAAATCTGTCCTACCATCTCCCCCCACCCCCCAGGCGATGCAGGCCTCCCTGCTGACTGATCCCACTTCCAGACTCCTTCAGGCCCCAACCCCAGCTTCACTCCTGCCCCAGCCACCACCACCCCCAATTCCCCCAGGGCTGAGCCAGGAAGGAGAGATGGAGTCCTGTGCTGTGAGTCCATTTCTTTATTAATTTTGACATTTGTTCAGCTGGTGTAGGGAGAATGGTCTATACATCCGAGTGGGGTGGGGGGATTCCCTCCCGATAACAGAGCATTGGGGAGAGTCAAGAAAAGAGTCATTTTTCATAACAATTAAAAAAATCAAGGTAATTCCAAAACTTCTAAAAAGCGTCTAAGGTGCAGACTGCAGCATTCTCTAGGCATCGTGTGGAGACCCCAAACTCCTCCTCTAACAGCTCCTACTAGCAACTGGAGCGCGCAGCCATGCCGCCCAAGGCCTGGGGCCGGCGGGCCAAGCAGCCATGCCAGACGCAGCGGAAGGTGCCAAAGCATAGCCTGGAGCCGCGGGACCCCCGCGGGGGCTCTACGAGGGCTAGTGGGGTGGGCTGCGGCGGCCGCCTGGGGGGACGGCGCGGGGTGGAGGGGAGGAGGCGGGCCCTGCGCCTGTCTTCCCGCGGCGGGGCTCCCGAGCGCCGCGCCCGCGGCGCCCCACTCCCCGACCCCCAACCCCCGTCCGAGCCCGCCGGCTCCGGCAGGTGCGCCCCTTCGACCCCGGCCCGACGCGGAGAAGCGCGGCACTCGGGAGCCCCGCCGCGGGGGCCGGGGCCGCAGCCCTGGGCGCCCCCTTGGCCTCCGCGCCCAGGCCTGCCCCTCGGAAGGCGGAGCGCCAGCCGCCCGGCCGCCCCGGCCGTCCCAGGGCGCGCGGGGCCCGCGGCCTCCGCCGGGAGAGCAGTGCGCTGGTGACGGGCACCAGGGCCGGGGGCCGGGGGCCGGGGGGGGGGGGGGGGGGGCTTCTGTGCTACTTGGAAGGTCTGATGTGTCTGCGGTCCCCTCCGCGGAGCGGCGGGGAGGAAGGCGGCAGGAAGTCCACAAACAAAGGCTCTCGCAAGCGACCCGAGCCCGCCGGTCTCTCTCCTGGCCCTAGAGGGCGCCCGCCGGGCCGGGCGGGGCGGATTGTGCTGATTCGGGCCTCGCTCTGCCGGAGGCGCCACTGTCACTTTAAGGCTGTCCCCTGGTGGCACCGAGGCGAGGAACAGAGGGACAGCCAGCCGCCGGCCTCCTTCCTGCCCTGACCGAGGGCCTGGCCTAGGAGGAGCTCCTTCCTCGCCCGGGCCTCCAGGTGGCCAGCTGCTCTCTCCTGCCCGGCTCGCCCCTCCCTGCGCTGTGGTCGGGAGTGGGGCCCTCGCCCGCCTCTCCGAGTAGGGCAGAAGGGCTTGGTCAGAGTGGGGCCACTGAGGCTGCCGGGCCTTGGCCCCTCATCCTGTGGGCTGCCTGGACTTAGAGCACCAAGTTGGCTCTGGGAGACGTTTTTTTTGGAGGGGGGGGGTGGTGGCTGACTTCTAAGAACTGGCAGATACATTCACTAGCCCTACTCACTTCCTTCCTCTTTCACTGAAAGACAGGCTGTAGCTCCTTCTCCCGCAGCCTGGAGAAGTCCTCAGGAGCTGAGCTGTTAGTGCTTTGTACATACTGCTAAAGTGTTTCTATTGGTTTGCATAGTATTTATTGTTTTTTCATTTACACAAGGCTGATAACTGTACAGTTTACACTTTGAACACAGACTATGATAGAAGTGCTTGAAGATATAGGAAACCTCTTCTCTATTGAACATGCTGGTGCGATCCTGGGACAGCAGCCACTGGCCCGCCCCCAGCTGAGAGAACACCCTTTCAGAGGGGGCATGGCTCCCTTGGAGCCCTACAGCTGAGCCTTGCGGGGGGCGGGGGGTCCTCGCCTCAGATTCTTAAGTCCCTAACACAAGGAACCCCGAATGCACTCTCAAGGTAATGATTTTCCATTGGAAGATGATTAATACTGAAACTGGCAGAGAGAGAGAGACAACATAAAAAAATTCCAGTTTGTCCACAGGAAAGTCTATCCAGCTTCAGACGTCACAGTAAAATCTGTGTCTATACTGAGGAGAGGGGAGAGGTGCTTGTGTATGTGTGTGTGTGTGTGCCTATGCGCATGTCCAGAATGTCATGTAGAACGGTCTGGGAGGAGTGGCCCCCTGGGGAGTGGGATGGGATGTCACAAATGGAATGGAGGTGTGTGTCGGTGGGGAAGGCTGGCAGATGAGGACATGGGATTAAGGTGCCGAACTGATTTTGTGCCTAGTTTTCTTTTCTTTTTTTTTTTTTTCCTTTCCAGGAAACCCACATGGATTTCCTACAGATGAGGTTGAAAACAAAGTACCCTGTAACAAGTCAAAATTAAAATGATTTTAAAAAATAGATCATCCCCAAGCACAAAAAGAGCCCTTGTTCACTTTCGCGTTCACACGCTCTCCCGTGCTGGTTTTCTATCCCTCTCTCTCCCCACCCCCCTTCTTGAGGCGTTTGTCCTGATTCCCAACAGAGATCCATCATCGCTAGAGGCAGGATTGAGGACTGTAGGTCATGCGTCTACAGTCAGTCATTCA